CAATTTTATAAAAGTCTATAAATTGTAATAAAATTTCTTAGTGAGCTGTATACAAACCGTTTCACCCGGGTCAGGATGAACACTTTCACAAGACACTCTACTTACGTTCATTTCTTCCACCAAAGCTGCGTCGTGCATCTCAATGCTGACGGTTGACGACGAGGATGAATCGTCCGACATCTCAAGGTCTTGCGCGAGTTGGTCCATTGTGCATTCGAGTCAGTCAAAAAGGGCACTGACGCTCCGGGCCCAGGGCGAGCGGCGGGCGGGCGGTAGCGCTGCCGCTACCACCCCCACCCCTCTAGCGACGGTTAGACGAAAAGGTTTGAATTGATTGGCGGCCGCTTGTCTACGCAACCGGCCGGTAGAGGGCGCGTCGAGCGCGCCACTTGAATTCAAATTAGGATGTACTGGATGTATTTCGCCACAGGAGTCGGTGTTGTACATGTCCGCACTTGTGTCCTTAACTCCACGCTCATATCCTACGACCTTATAATGACACCCCTCACTCGGATCGCGGCGGGCGCGGCGCGGGAATGGCGCGGCGGAACCCGGCTACCTCCTCGGGCGGGGCGGATCGCGGCGCGGGCAGCCAGCTCGGGCGGTGCGGCTCGGACGGGTCCGGCGGGGCGGGCCCCGAGGCCACCGCGGACTCATCGACGGCGACCTCCCCGACGGCGACCTCCTCACCCGGGCGGTACGGTCCCGGTGCGCGGGCCCCGAGAACATCGCCACCCTCCTCATCGCGAACCTCATCCTGGGCACGACGGTGACCCCACAAGACATGTCACAACATGTTCAGGGGCGGTCCTCTTAGAAATGGGGGTAAAATCCAAGATGGCGCTGGGGGGGACAATGAGTACCTCTTACTACTCTTGTCGTTTTCGAATGTGGTAATAAAAGCACTAGTATGGTCCAGTCAGTCAAATGCGCCGGTTGTTCTTACTCTCCTCAGAAACCCTCAGATTTCTAGAAGTTTAGTAGAAGATAGAATAACAGCTTTATAGAGTTTAACAAAAGAACATCAGTATGAAAAGTTTACGACACAAGAAGTTAGATCAAGGTTAGCAAGGCTGTAGATTAAATTTAAAAGCAATGAAACAGCTAGCACCCCTTCATAAGATACAGACTTGCAAGGGCAATTATTAATCAGCACGGAAGCAATACACATACAAAATGCTGAGTGAAGTTGATTTACAAGCATAAAAATTGAAGCTAATTGACAAGCATAATAAAATGAAGCTAAAAATGGCAAGACAGAATAAAAGAAATTGATAGAAAAAGCAACAAAATTAAAGCTAATTACAAAACTAATAACAAACAATAGTTTGAGAAAAATACAATCAGACTTTAGTTATCACAGAAAAAAATTGCACAATATCACATTAGCAATCTAAATAAGTTAAAAGTCCAAACTTAGAGCACATTCCCTTGTGCTTAACACCAGATAAGCTCTTTGTGAAAACATCAGCTTACTGATCTTCTGTAGGAATGTAGGAAATCCGAATGACTCCATCTTCCTCGAGTTCACGCAGAAAATGGTACTTGTTGTCCACGAACCTCATTCTCCTGTTGAGCGCGTCCATCTCAATACATTTGATAGCTCCCTGGTTGTCGCAGAAGAGCTTAGCTGTTTCCGCCATGGTAGGGACAATCTCTTTGATAAGTGATGTGATGAAGATTGCCTCCTTTCCAAGCTCCATCATGCAAACAAATTCAGCTTGAGTGCTACTCAGGGCGACGCTCTTTTGCTTCTTCGATTCCCAGCTCACAGCTCCACCTCCAAGCACCACCACGTAGCCACTGTATGATCTCCTGTCAACCAGACAATTTCCCTAATCAGCGTCGCAATAAAATTTCAGTTTCCCACCTGACTTGGAGAATTGGAGTTTCCAGCTGGCAGTGCCCTTCAGGTATCGAAGAATGAGCCATTAAGCCAAAACGAAATCGTAAGGAAGAACATCAATATGGCCGCCGTGGAGCCAAACAAATCTTCAACTGTTTGTTAAGTCGTCTGCTGTAGATGCAACAAAAATGTCCTGTAAATAACAACAACGCCCTAAAATATTGAGAAAATGTTGAAAATCGACGAAAACATTTTATTAGATGTAGTTTGCTCCAGTTTGCTCTCAGCGAAAGCAGACATATTTACAAACAGTTGAATATTTGTTTGGCTCCAAGGCGGCCACCTTGATGTTCTTCCTTACGATTTCGTTTCGGCTAAATGGCTCATTCGTTTCAGTGCTGTCCAGTGTTCTTCGCCGTATCCATTGCTGAACTGACTCATCACAGAACAGGACTGCATGATGTCAGGACGGGTTGAGACTGCCACATACATCAGACGACCAAGTAGTTGCCGAAATGGCTTACTATTTTCCGGCAGAGGTTGCTCTGGCTTCTGGAGTCGCTGGGACGAACATAGTGGGGTTCCAGCGCTGTTGCATTTTGACATCTCATACAGCTCCAAAGTCTCTCTGATGTAGGCCTCCTGGTCTAGGCTGATTGTTCCCTTCTGCTTACCTTGATGCACTCTGACTCCAAGGTAGCTCTGGACATGGAGTAAAGCGGTATGGAGTAGAAGCTTTATTGTCCCGGGGCCCTGCGTGCCTGCCTCCCCAAACGTCTGACGGACGAACGGTTTGAGCTAAGCGCTGGGTCTTTGACATGTGTGTCGGGGAAGGTCTGACCTACAGGAAGATACCCTTGGTTTCTCGATCGGACACACCAAACGGTCTCCACAGCGCTGTAAGGCCCGCGCGCCGTCTCCCGCCCCGTCTCAGCCCAGCGCCGGCCGCTAGGAGCAGCACTGTCGCGCGCCGACGATACTCCGCGACCAGACTCGCGCAGTGCTTGGTCTGGGATGCGGGTGGTCTTGGTCGTGGAATCACAACGATAAGCTAGTTTTTGAGTTATTAGTCGGTAATTACCGATGCTACGAGGGGTGCGATGCGCGCTAGCCGGATCGCGGAGTATCGGCGGCGCGCGACAGTGCTGCTCCTAGCGGCCGGCGCTGGGCTGAGACGGGGCGGGAGACGGCGCGCGGCTGGCACGCGGGCCTTACGGCGCTGTGGAGACCGTTTGGTGTGTCCGATCGAACAACCAAGGGTATCTTCCGGTTGGTCAGACCTTCCCCGACGCACATGTCAAGGACCCAGGTCTGTAGCTCAAACCGTTCGTCAGACGTTTGGGGAGGCAGGCGCGCAGGGCCCCGGGCCAGTAAAGCTTCTACGCCATACCGCTTTACCCCATGCTCTGGATAGGCCCTAGGTCCCAAATTTCAAATTCTTAAGACAAATGATCCTTCAGGCTCTTGGCTGCATTTTTGGACCTGGAGAAAAGCAGTATGTCATCAACATAGATTGCAAGAATTATGAGCTCATCACCTTCACCTTTAAAGTAAATGCACGGGTCCACAATAGACTTTGTGAAACCAGCTTCCAACAATCTCTTGCTCAGGGTGATGTGCCAAGTCCTTACCGCTTGCTTTAAACCATAGATTGATCTTGAGAGACGACACACTCTGTTGGTTCCATCCTCAAACCCTTCTGGTTGTTCAATATAAATCTCTTCCTCAAGTTTTCCTTGAATGAAAGCAGCAGTGATGTCAACATGTTCAACATCCCAATCGAATTTTGTTGCCATTGCAAACAATAACTTCACACTAGCCTGGTTCACAGTAGGGGAGTAAGTATCAAAATAATCAATACCGTACCTCTGATCAAAACCTTGGGCTACAAAGCGAGCTTTGTACCTGCCCGGGTTTCCCGCTCCATCATGCTTGAGTTTGAACACCCACTTGGTTGAGATTGTCTTCTGGTCTTTTGGTCTCTGCACCAATGTCCAAGTTTCATTCTTCTCCAAACAATCAATCTCAACGCGTCCGTGCAACAATATCCTATCTGTTTCGCTGCCCCAAAAGACTAGCCTGTCTGTTTCGCTGCTCCGAAAGACCAGCCTATCTGTTTTTCGGCGCTCTCTGCATCGCTGTCATCTTTTTCTTGTGAGTTTGCCAATATTAAGAGTAGTAAAAAAGTGAACACTGCTGCGTGTTCCTTGAAGATCAAGATAAAAATGGCAATTTTTATTATTTTTCTACCGTTAATATAAGCAAACCCACAATGAAAAGAAGACAGCACTGCAGAGAGCGCCGAAAAACAGATAGGCTAGTCTTTCGGGGCAGCGAAACAGATAGGCTAGTCTTTTGGGGCATTGAAACAGATAGGCTAGTCTTTCGGGGCAGCGAAACAGATATGCTAGTCTTTTGGGGCAGCGAAACAGATAGGATAGTCTTTCGGGGCAGCGAAACAGATAGGATATTGTTGCACGGACGCGTCGATCTCTTCTTTACAAGCTTTCTCCCAAAGCGACGAATCTGACCTGTCCATAGCTTCAGTAAAGGTAGTAGGATCAACTGACCTTCCTTCAACGAGGTAAACGAAGTCTTTGTCCTGGTTTGGCTTCGGAGTCCTTGCAGTTTTACGAACAGGAACAAGGACTTGATCATTCGCCTTCTTAGCTGTTGATGCTCTCCGCACAGGAACAAGAATCTGATCTGCCTCCCCTTCAGGCTCTGGGATCTCAACTTCATTTTGCTGAGGTTGCTCGACACTGAAATCAATTTCAACAGTTAGGGCAGGTGTCAAACTCGCGGCTCGCGATCCAAGCGCGGCTCGCCTAGCCCGGTAGCGCGGCTCGCCGAGAGCCGCGCACCTCTTGCGTTCGGGTGGATCCGAGCCCCCGAGAGCCGCGCTCGGGTTGCTCGAAGATGAGCTGGACCCAGCCATCGTCGTCTGTCGCTCGACACACGCCGCTCGCTCGCTGGCCCAGTGTGTGTCTGTCTTTGTCTCACTCATTGAGGCGCCATTGGGAGAGACAAAGATAGACACACTGGCCGGCGACAGAGCGCCGAGGGAAGCCAGCCGGCGGCGACAGCGGTGCGGCCGGGCACGGATCAGTCGCTGAGGCACCACTACATCTATCTCTCTCACTCTTCTTGCCGAAGAGCTTGTAATGCATGTGGCCTATGCAGAAGCGGCTCGGCGGATAGCTCGAGTTTGAGACCCCTGAGTTAGGGGGAAACTCGTCAACATTCTTACTTTGATCAGCTGAGGCAGTGTAGCGGGTGGTTTCAAAAAAAGTTGCATCTCTTGATGTGATGATCTTAGACCTGTCTTCAAGATCCATGAACCGCCAGGCTTTCTGAGTGT